TTTTGAATGCAGGTTTTTTTTTTTACATCATTCTACATTTATAAGTTCAACTTTCATGATAAAGAGATTGCACTACAGTACTTGTATTAGGTGAATTGAAAAATACTATTTCTTGGGGTTTTTTTACAGTGCAAATACTTGTAATCAAAAGTAAATATAAAGGGAGCACTGTACACTTTGTGTTCTGTGTTCTCATTGAAATCAATATATTTTAAAATGTACAAAACATCCTAAAATATTTAAATAAATGGTATTCTATTATTGTTTAACAGTGCAATTAATTGCGTGATTAATCGTGACTAGTTTTTTTAATTGCTTGATAGCCCTAATTAAATTCTATTTACCTGAACTTGCTGCTGACCGTGATGCTCACTTCAGAGTATTGTTCTTCTTGTTTATATATTTTATACATAAATATACACACACACACCTGGATCAAGCGTGGACCAATTTTTCCCATATTTTCAAACTATACATAACATCTTGCTGTAGAGTAAACTGATCATGAATTTCAAAGTGTGATACTATGACAGATGTGAAGGCTTGTTTAATTAAAATTTTGTTGCCAAACTTTACTCAGATTTCTTTGAAAATGGAAGTGACTAGTCAAAGCCTGTTTCATATTTTTTACAGGAAAATTCCAAGAAAAAAAAACTCCATGTGCTGCCTTTTCCTGTTAAAAAATATTGTACTGAATTCAAGAAAATAGCATCCTGGGTGGATACGTTCCCGTCACTTCTGCTTTGTGGTTCTGGGACAGTTATGATTTAACATTGTAGCAGTATTAAAATAGTACTGCAAATGCTTCATAAAACAGTTAATGGAGCTACCTAAAAAAAAAAAAAAAAAGGAGTGTGTGACCTGCTTAAGTATGGATTCTGCTGTTGAAAATATTTTAATTGAAGGTCACATCAGGCAAAAGAGATATTCTACCCCATAAGGGAGTAGTCAATGTGCTGCAGCAATCGCCATTACAGAGTGCTAAACTCTGCTCCCCACAACATAACTCTGCTGATTATTGATGGTTTCCATAAGGAGAAGCAGGAGAAATTAAGTAAAATTCACGGGTAAAAGGGAGAGCCAACCGACAGAATGATAATTCCATAAGGACAAGGGTTTTACTTGTATCTGTCACATCAGGAAATCTACACTCAAAAAGCCAAAGTGTACATTCCCCAGAAATGCTCATGTGAAGGGAGAGAGGGGGGCCACTAAATTTCAACTTCAACTCAGGGATTACCTTTGAATTGTCCGCTCACTTGGAGGGATCGGGAGAGCCATCAAGAAGGGAAGGGTGCTGCCTCTCAGCCCCATAGAGTCTCCTGAACTACAGGGAAAAGTAAGCTTCCCATCCCACAGAGGGGTGGCTTCTTGGTGCTGCTTCTCTGGCAGCCCTCCACCCCGTGGCAACGTTCCTTCTGCAGGAACCAGGCTGCCATTGGCCACGCATGCACATCTCTACAAGAAACAAACCATTCACCACAGGGGTTCAAGCAGGAAGTGGAAGTAAATGCTGTTTCAAGAAACTGTTACTATAATCATAGATACCTACTGGGAAAGCAGTTGCACAGGAGGAGAGCAGAACTGCTCCTCCTAGGAATGTGCAAACAATGCAGTCTCACATAGTGCACGTTGCCTGGGGCCTGCCTTTGGTGACCTAGGTTTGGGGGGCAGATGTAATGGCAGACTTTTTCAACGGGAAGACAATGGAAGGGTAGGGGTAGAAAAAAAGTTTCCAGGAAGGGGAAATGGAGCAGTAAAAGCCTCCGGGTGGAGAAGGCAAGGAAGGTGATGGAAGAAAATTGCCCCTCTGCGAAACTTCTGCATTTTCTCTAGAAGTATGCAATGCCTCCACTAATATGGGTCCCTCCTTCTCCTGAATGGGACCTCCCTCCCCGTGAGCCCCTGCGGTGCCCATTCTTTGCAGTACACCCAAGGGGAGATTCTGGCAGGTAGTGGGAAGGGGGGATAATGCAATGGAGGAAAGGGGGCGGATCGTTAATTTCTAATACTACATTTTATACTGAATGATGATGGCAATGTAATATTATAGCAAATGTTCAATACTATTTCAAAATGCTTGAACAATACTATTGGGGATTCTGCTTTTTACCACTCAGCTACAATCACCGGTAAATTATACTCCTGGCCTGGCACACCAACGTGCCTGTTTTTCTGCTCTCTACACACATCTCACTCTGGGAGAACAAGCCAGGCACATTTCCACTTTCCCCTTCCATGCCCAGATCCAGACAGAGGCATAAGGGAGATCTGTTCTCCTAGGGTGACCAGATGTCCTGATTTTATAGGGACAGCCCCAATTTTTGGGTCATTTTCTTATATAGGCTCCTATTACCCCCCCCCCCCCCACACACACACACACACACAC